ATTGTCTTTTTATATGATTACAGATCAATTTAAATTTCTGAATAGAAAGCTGTCTACTATTTCTTATCATATTTCCAAAAAATAATTAAATCATCCTATGATATAAGAAAGGGTAATGAGACTATGCAGTTATCTCAATTTCGCGTTGTTCACATTTAATAAAGTAAGTTCTGGATTTATACATACCTTCTATACTTTTCTCGTCATCATAATCTAAACTGCATAATGGGCATGATGTCTCATCAGTAATGTCATAATAAACGAATTTTTACTACTAAATTCTCTATATAAAGCAGAATATTAGTCTAATATTTTGTTATGAAAATAGGAGAGATCATGGAGTGGATTCTTAGATTAAGGTGAAGGTAATATATTTGCGATATACTTTAGTTCTTTAAACTAATTGGTTATTCAGATGATCTGAATAATTTAAATAATCGTCATTAATCAACGATTAATTTGAATAATAATCGATTATAAATTTTATGAATGATTGATTAATCGATTACAAAATTTTTGACCGATTCAGACCTCTAATATTTATAATTCTATTAAAAAATTTATTGTTTTATATACTTGTAATATTTTAATTATTTGAAAAAGTTTTATTAATATACATCTTTTATAAAAATAAATAAAAAAAATACTATTTTAAATTCTTGCAAAAATACTTTTATTTTATTCTAAAACTTAACTATCTAAATCTATCATTTTTACTTTAAAGAAATAATTTAACAGAAACTTTTACTTCTAATTAAAATATTATTAATAATATTTATAAACTCAAAATTATCTTACTTTCTAATATTTTTAATTAAATCTTATTAATAATATAAATACTGATAATAATAAATTTATTGTGATTTTTACTTATATAAAAATTGTTTAATTTCAATTATTGTTAAATTTATTAATAGTTATTTTTACGTAAAATAAGATATTTAAGAAACTAAAATGCAGATATATTAATTTTATTAAATTAATAATTATTTATTTTAATAATAAAAAAGTTTGATATTTTTATTAGTTTTATTTTAATATCTAAGTTGAAAGAATTATAAAAATTGACTTTATTTATTAAAGTTTATAATCTTAAGATATTATTTAAGTCTTACATATATCTATTATATTTAAATCAATTCTGTGATTATACTTCTTAGAATTTAAGATTTATTTAGTTAAACTTAAATGATAAATTTAAAAGTAAGTTAGTATAAAATATTATAATATTTAAATAAGAAATAACATTAAAGAAAAAAAGTAATTTTTATAAGTTTTAATTGATTCTTTTATTAATAATTTAAAATTTACAAAAGAGTAATATATCTTATAAGAAAATTAATTTAAAACTTAAGCAAATTATTACTCTATTTTTATAAAATTGATTTATTATAATTAACTATTTTACTATATTATAAATTAACTATATTTGTAAATTTTAATTATAATATAATAATAAAATAAATAAAATACAGATATAAAATATAAGAAAAATAATAATAATAATAAAAATACTTAAAAATGGAAAATTATTTATTATCACAGATATAATAAATATTTATAATATTAGAAGAATCAGATAAATTCAATCAATTAGATAAATCATGCAAATCTTTAATATTTTTCTAATTTTCTGATGTAGTATTTTATTAATTATTACTGTGTATTATTATATAATAATTCTATATTTATGATAACATTTATTTTTAATGTTAATAACATAAATAGTCTTTACTATAAAATTTTCTGATTCAGATCAGTATTTTTTTTTATTGTGTGACATGTGCATCCATACATAATTAAAATTTTGAGCACTTTTTTTAGTAAAAATATGCATTATGCTGCACAAAAAAATTTTACATATATGAGTAATACAAATACTTGTGAATAGTTACGTATAATTATGAATAGCTGCTATACAGTATATACAATTATGAACAATTATATGGTAAATTTGATCATTGAGTTATTTTTCAAATTTGTTATTTTATCACATCACTTCATCAAGCAAGTATAAACATTAAATACTAAATCATCTTATGAAAAGTGTTTTACAGCATTAAGCTAATACTAATTAAAATAGTTTCAGTTAGAAAACTTGCATTTTATTTACTTACTTTTTTTACTTTTTTTTTGTAATAATGAAAAGGTATTTTTTATTTGTTAAAACATAATTACCTGTAAAAGATAAAAATAAACAATATGAACCTTCTGGTAAAGCTTCATTAAGTAAAAAGTCAGATTCTTTAAAATTATCTGAAGTAAAATTCTATAAAAATAAAAGTAATCCTAATCTAAAATGGATAGATAATGGAAATGATACTTGGTTAGAATATAGAGATATAGATGAAACATTAATCATATTTTGTAGGTAGTTTAAATCAAAAAATATACTAATAAACTTGCAAAAAGAATAAGTAATTATCAAAAATAAAGCATTGATTGACATCTTAGTCATC